ATTTGAACAGCCGAACTGCAGAACTGCAGTCAGCTGAAGTAGCCTGCAGTGCTGCATTTAACCACTGCGCCACCTTGGCTCCTGGAGACTTTGCCGGAGAGGAATTCACTGTCAATTAAATAAAAGGGATTTATCGAGACGAGGACTCAGCTGCCTAGGTTAGAACAGGCACCATGCGGTTAACAGTGCCTCCTGCTCAAGATTTAAATCGAAGTAAAACAAATATTTCATGTTTCACAACAGCTGCTTTGGAAGTTCATCTTGTCCACTTTTCAGACCCTGTTTGGTTAAGCAAAAGCTCCCAGTTCAAATCCCTGACATCTCCTTTTAACACTCGAAAATCCCGGTTTCAGAAATATGAAAAGGAGCAGTCAGCTACTGTAAAACAGAATTTCCTTTCATATTCTGCTGCCCTCCGGTTGTGTTAAACATCTCGTCCCCAAAGAAAACTGCCATTCATGAAGATAATGGACTTCAGAAGGGTCATAAGCAGTCATTAATGAAGGCAGATAAATGCTTATAAACAGTGGCTTGGCTCTATAGCAGGGGTGTCAAATTCAAGGCCCGGGGACACGATCCAGTCTATGGGATGCTTAAGCCTGGCCCACGGGACCGCCTTGGAAACAGCAAAGGACTGGCCCACAGTGCCCATCAGTGAAAACAGAGCTCAGGAAGCTGTGTTCGGCCATCCTGAGCTCTATTTTCGCTGGCAGAAGGTTGCAGGAGGCCGTTGCAGTCAAAACGGAGCTCGGGAGCCCGTTTTCACTGGCAGAGCGCTTGGGCCACAACATGAGTGACGTCCAGGTGGCCACGGCCACCCCTGTCCCCCAAGGTCAAACACAACCCTGATGTGGCCCTCAATGAAATCGAGTTTCACACCCCTTCTCTACAGCAATGTTTCTCAATTTTGGCAATTTAAGCTTTGTGGACTTCATCTCCCAGAATTCCTGGCTGGTTGGGGAATTCTGGGAGTTGAAGTTCACAGAGCTTAAAGTGGCCAAGGTTCAGAAATACTACTGTACTGTACAGAATATCATGCACTGCTGTCATGTGCTTTTACCAAAACATTACATTTTTTTCCCCAGACAGACCAAAGCAGCCCTCAGCTAGTGACCAGATATACATTTTTTGAAGTGCCTTAGGTTTAATGCACAACGCACACAAACCGTATTTAAAAAGTTTACCCCGCTCAGTTTAACACTGTTCTGCTCCAACTTCTCTTGCTCGATGGGTGACCGGCTGTCGTACTGAGGAAGGAGTGCTGGATATAAGACGCTGGGCATTTCTATGTTAATTCCAGGGAGTCCATGAAACATGCATTTCTGAAAACATCAAAGAAAATCCTAGACATCAGTACTATAATCTGCTTAGTGCTTCATTAATTTAAATTAAATTACATCTGCTTCTTTTTACGACCAAAATTGAGCCCAACATTTCTGTTGCTAAGTGAGGCAGTTGTTTAAGTCAGTTTTGCCCCACTTTACGACCTTTCTTGCCACAGTTGTTAAGCGAATCACTGCAGTTGTTCAATTGGTACTGGGGTTCCCAATCTTTTCCATACCCCGCACCCCTGGAACACTTCTGATATATTCTTGCACCCAGTGGTGGGATTAAATTTTTTTTTACTACCGGTTCTGTGGGCTGGATGTGGCTGGATGAAGGTTATTGCAAAATCTCCATTTCCTCCCAATCAGCTGGGATTCAGGAGGCAGANATAACCATTTGTCTGAAGTGGTGAAAGGTTTCCTGCCTAAGCAGGGGGTTGGACTAGAAGACCTCCAAGGTCCCTTCCAACTCTGTTATTCTATTCTTACCATGGAAAAGGTGATGTCATCTACTTCAGTTCCTTTGGAAGACTGTAAGATGCTCAGGAAAGCCTGAAAGCAGATTTCTCTGTATGATTCCTCCAGGTAGGGCTGTCCAGGTAGGCTAAAAGACAGGCAGATGCAAAGGAGGAAGATGAACTGCAGAAAAGGAGTAATGCTTTTATCTGTCTGTTTAGAAAATGCAGTAGAAGGAAGAAGCAACCCCTTCATATCAGAAAGCTCATAGTATCTGAGACCTCAGCAATCTGAGATAAATTGCTTTATTCAATGAAATGAGAGGATTTATTAAGGAAAGCAATATCTCACTATGTTATTCTTCTTCCACGTATTAGACAACATAGAAAGACAGAAAAGTGATGGCAGAAAAAGCCTAGGGGTCCATTGAATCTAATCTTTGAGGGTGTTTTTTTTTAATTTGTTAAATTTTGGGGTTTATCTCAAGCATGTTTAAGTAAAAGTTATTCCCAAGAATGTTTCCCAATCTGTCTTTTCATACTGTCTGTATTTGCAGTTCTGCTATAGAATGTTAAATACTAGGAGTTTCTGGGGCAATTTCAGGGTGTTGAAATTACAGGGTGTTTTTTTTTACAGCTATTTAGATTCTCTCATGCAATTGTGATCAAAATAAGGAAAATGTTAAGAATATTATTATAGCCTAACAGTGACTGGGTTCAAATACTGTGATTAGTCATGACTTGCTGAATAACACACAGGAACTGTTCACACAAACTAATAAGCCACAACCCTTAATATCCAAGGGTTTATCTGGGTTTATCTTTTGCACTAAGCTAGAGACAAATAAACCACATTCTGGCTTAGTACCATGTGCTGAGTACCAGGTGTTTTTTTTTTTTAAGAAAGTACTCTTCAATATCAGCTCCATCACTTCCACTGATATATTTAAAACAATAAAATACATCAATTAAAAATAATATGTTAAATTTGTATTTCTATAGTGAAGAACATTTAAACTAGAATGCTAACAGCTATTTGGAAGTCTATTAAGTAAAGGTAAAAGTTTCCTTCGCACATATGTGCTAGTCATGCCTGGCTCTAGGAGGCGGTGCTCATCTCCGTTTCAAAGCTGAAGAGCCAGCGCTGTCCGAAGACGTCTCTGTGGTCATGTAGCCAGCATGACTAAACACCGAAGGCGCACAGAACACTATTACCTTCCCACCAAAGGTGGTCCCTATTTTTCTACTTGCATTTTTACGTGCTTTCAAACTGCTGAGTTGGCAGAAGCTGGGACAAGTAACCGGAGCTCACTCCGTTACGTGGCACTATGGATTCGAACCTCCGAACTGCCAACCTTTCTGATCGAATAGCTCAGCGTCTTAGCCGCTGAGCCATCGCGTCCCTTTGGAAGTCTGTTATTAACACTTAAAGACAACACACTTCCACAAAAATGCATTTTAAACTGGAATATATGGGCCTGTTTATCTGTGGGCCTTGGATTGAGACCTTTTTTTCTAGACCTCCCAATGCTGGAATATTTGCATCCTCTATCCCTAGAAGAGGCACCACATAGTGGAAAGGAGTCAAGCCATACCTATTGATTTCAGTCATACCTGAAGCACAGGTTAGCCATGCTGTGTATCGCAGCCCTTTTCCTTTCAGCATCAGTTTCAGCCGGGCTGCTGAACTGCATCAGAAGTCCGTTTTCCCCCAGCAAATCTGGGAGATACTTAAAAAAACACCAGTCAGCACATATTCGTTGAACAAATTGGAGAAGAGAGGCAAAACTAAACTTAGAATTAGCGAAGCCACAAAAGCATGCTTTAGTGCATGAATTCTAGAAGCTCAGCCATCTTATATCGTATTATGGCTTTCAGCCTGGGTGAACCACAGGCTACAATTAAAAACAAAAAGAGGCAAAAGCTGAAAATGTCATTCAGGACATCTCATTGTTTTCCCCATCATCAGATAGCAGGAATAATTCTGGGTTAACATGAGATAGGAAATTATCTTCTTCACTTAGCTGCCAAACATCCTATACCAGTGATGGTGAACACAGGTGCAAATGTGCGCATGTGCGGATATGCGAACATGCGCAGCAGAGACCCGAAGACTAGCTGGCTGGTGGGAGTCGGGGCATCCCAACACCGGCAGCATGAAAAAAGGTAAGTTTTTTTTTTAATAGCAGAGTTGGAAGGGACCTTGGAGGTCTCCTAGTCCAACACACTGCCTAGGCAGGAAACCCTATATTGTTTCAGACAAATGGCTATCCAGCATCTTCTTAAAGACTTCCAGNAGATAGATAGATAGATAGATAGATAGATAGATAGATAGATAGATGATAGATAGATAGATAGACAGACAGACAGACAGACAGACAGACAAAACAGAGAGAGGATGATAGATATCTAGATAGCTAGATAGCTGATGGATGGATGGATGGATGGATGGATGGATGGATAGACAGATAGATAGAGATTCATTCCTCCATACTACCAGCCAAGTGGGCTCAGAGTAACCTATAGTGGTTTAAACCACAATGTACCATCGCATATTTCAAATAACTGATAAAGGAGTAAAAACAAAACTCCACCCCAACATTTTGCATAAAACCCCCAGTCAACAACAGCTGTGTTCATCAACGACCAACAGCTACACAACCACAGAAGTGGACCACCTGCTCTTCAAGGGGAAATGTGCTCTTCCATACTAGGAGCTTGCTGAAAAGGCCTTGAGTAATTCAAACCAGCTCTACCACAAGCAGCACACAATTTTGGCTTTTGGTACTGGGTCATTTAGGATCTAAATTATTCTGGACTTTGAAAGAATTCAAAGCATTTTAGATCATATCCAGAAGCAGTTTACACAGAAGATGATCAGTTTTTGGATTTAAAACCATTGAAACTGAGCTGGGTTTGTATAAACCTTCTGAAAAAAATGATTTACAGATTATTAGATGGAAGGAAATCCTAGCTTGCAAGAAGTGGTACGTGTAAGAGTAAAGAAGCAATAAAAATACAATTAAAAGTGAGGAATAAATAAAGTAAAAATGCTGGAAATAAACTCAGTGATGAATGTAAACAGATTGTACACATTACAAACTTTACACACATCAATTTCTGATATACTGAAAGAGGTCACTGAATTGTATCTCAAATATTTTTATCTACTGTGGAGTCTGCGAGGAAGCTAACCAAGCCAATTAAAACATCCTGAAATGCACATTAAAAATAGTAACATCATCAAACCCAAGAGACAATGAAAGGTGTAATGGTTGATCAAAGTCCTCCTTTACATGACTAGATTTTTAAAGCAGGATGTTGTTTTTCAAGATCATCACACTCCCCTCTGTTCCTGGTAACTTGAATGCACAAAATTTGGGGGGGGGGGTTTCCCCATGGATGGTCACTTTTTAACCTCATGACCACAATACAGGAAATCGCAAGAACAAAGGGGTTGCCTTGTTGGTTCCAGAAACAGAAAATATTTCTATTTCATGTGGCACATTGTGTGGATCTTGGTGTGTAATTGACAACACAACCCCATTGTATTCAGTTCGCTAGAGTAAGGATTTGGTGTCTTGCAACTTTAAAATTTGAGTTTACTCCTCATTCCCTTTGCATTTGTCCATTATCTTTTGCCAACAGCTATGGAGATGCTATGCTGGTGTGATCCGGCAGGGAAAACATTGAAACAAAGAATTAATTGTAAGATCACAAGCGTTATGGTGGAAAAGCACAATTATTTCATACAAGTTCTACATGCCTAAGGCAACTTGGTAGATAGATAAAGCAGTTTCATTGCACCGATTTTGAACTCTGATCTTGTAAATGGGAACTCTGAAAAAGAACATTTATCTATAGATGGCTGAGCTACATTTTTTTTTACTTCTGTTCAGAACAGGAAGCTCTATAAAAAGCCTGAAATTGATGCATATTCCAAATGAAGATGAATTAAAATCTCATGACTTTACAAAGCAGAAAATGCCTTCCGAAGGAAAAAAAGTATTAAAAAAACCTCACAGCCTTACTTATTAAAATTAGTTCTTTAAAAAGAAAACAGAAGGGTAACCAAAACCATATATGGCTAAAAGTATACCATCACTTTTTCAGTTCAGTAAGTGACACATAAATCATGGTTTGTTTAACTAAGGTTTGAATAAGCCACAGATGATTCAGTTAACACAACCCAGTACAGTAACAGAGTTCAGAGCCAGAGTTCACAAATGGGTAAACACAACAAAAGGAAGTAAAAAACAACAATCCTACATTTTAACAATAAACCCATGTATGGAATAATCAGAATTCTCAGGAACTGGGCAGTATATAAATTTAAAAACAAATAAGTGTAAGGAAATAGCTCTCATATCCCAAAGGATCTATATTTGGGAAGCAACATAAAAAGATTGCTTTTTTCCCCCCAACAACAAAAAGTCACATTCTAAAAATATATGATGTATAGTCTGTTAATGGCCTTTGCCATTCACCGTCAAAAAATGTAAAGCAAAAAAGCTTGGTTACAATGAATTCTTTTTCATAAATTACTTTTTCAACTAACTGGTGTTTCCGAACATGGCAAAGATTTTTAAGGCATCTGTTCCTTCCTATGAAATCTTAAGGCGAGGGAACCAGTTGCTAGGGGAACAAGATATATATTTGCTGAATTAAACAGAGTGGCCTGAAGGTCAAATAAAAAAAAGTTTTTACAAACCCAAATCACCAAGGGAGACTGGTGCAAGATAAGTAAAAAAAAAGGAACATTGCATTCATTACAGAATGCTAAGAATTTCAAGCATCTAATTTTAGCCATTGTATTGGTTTTCACCACAGGGTCCCTTAAAGCAAGGCTGATAACTTACTTTCAAGAAATCCTTAACAACTCTCCAGTTCTATTTCATGTAAGTTACATGTATTAATCTAGAAGTGTCAACATCCTGTGTGCTGGGCCATGTCTGGCATTATATTGTATGTTCAGAAGCATTTCAGAGACTCTTCAAGTGCATCAACACATCTTCGGATCCACAGAGGTTTTTGTAGAGAAAGTACTCGGTTTGCCACATTCTTCTAAACCAGTTGCACCTCCTCCAACAAACCAGGTTTAAAGAAATTGTGGTGTTGATACAACCCGTGACCCAACCAAGGGGACTTTCCTTTTATCAAGCAGCAAAAGAGGATGTGAGGGGGCTGAAACTTTTCTGAGGTTATAACAGGAAAAGCAACTCAATTCTCCAAGAATCTGTTTTACTTGCAAAATAGCAATGCCTCCTTCAAAGAGGGTTTTTCTTTTCTTTTTTTTACCTGACCTGTTTTTGATTCCATTTAAAATCTGGAATGAGAACAAAACCGTCGATGGGATCTGGATTTTCATAGACAATCCGATCAGCTTCAGCCTTCTTCTCCAGGATGTTGTACACCCACTGGAAAAGATAAAACGCATTTGTTTATTTATTAAATGTATATGCTGCCCATCTCACTCGCAAGTGACAGATTAATTGCTTAACATCAGATTGACCTCTTGGTGATTCATTCTGACTAGGTGGCTCAGTGGCCAAGACACTGAGCTTGTCGATCAGAAAGGTCGGCAGTTCGAATCCCTAGTACAGGTCTCTTATGTGAGCAGGGGGTTGGACTAGATCACCTCCAAGGTCCTTTCCAACACTGTTACTGTTGCAATGCATATTCTCCAAGCCAGGCTTTTGTTTTAATTTGTTCTTTGCTCACAGAAATTTCATTTCAGGTTCTGAAATACAAAATGTCACTTGAATTCCCCAAAGAACAACAACATTAGTTTCCCAGCTAATGCAAGCTACAGTTCATAGACCTGAAGACAATCGAATATTGTGTGTCAGAACTGAGGTCAATCTTGGAGGGGGAACTAGAATTATTTTCATCTTCATCCCCACCGCATTCCTAGCCAGATGATCGAAGAAATGGGTTTTCCTTTTTTTCCCCTCCAAAGTGAATCACACCCTGTCACTTCTGAAAGCAAAACACTCGATTTAATCAACGCTTAGAACACATAGCAATAGCAATAGCAGTTAGACTTATATACCGCTTCATAGGGCTTTCAGCCCTCTCTAAGNCCCCCCCTTCCCTGATTTGATTTGTTAGCCACCCTGAGTCCCCTTCGGGGGGAAAGGGCAGCATATAAATATAATAAAATGAAATGAAATGAAATACAGGAAACAGCCAATCTAATTGCCCCAAATTGGATAGACTTAATTGTGCAAACTCACACAGAATTAGCCTCTGCCAAAATTGTGAGTCATATTGATATACCCCAGGCATCACTTCCCCTGTGCATAGGGACCTTTCATTGTTTAAGTTCTGTCTCATGGCACCAAATTTGGGAACAGCTCTCTTTTGATCGACTCAGCAATGTTCTCGCTCACATCCAGATGCCAGACGGTTAATGCTGTCCTTACCATCTTCTTCCTCTATTTTCTCTTTGGCCTGTTATGCCCCAGTTCTTTCCCTGGCAAGTGACAGTAAATCAATATAGAACACATTGGGGGGAAAAATTAGCAAATGAGTGTTGCAGACCATACCTACTCATCCTGGCCCGATTCACAATGAAAACCCAATGAATCTGTTAGTTCTGGGCTATAATTTCATATACTTAAAACGCAGATCAACTTTGAAGACTTTTTTTTTTTTAATGAAAAAAATCACACACCCCCAGGTTACAAATTCAACATTTGGGTGTTTGGCAGCTGGCATATATTTTTGCGATGGTTGCAACATGCCAGGATGAAGTGATTGCGATCTGCAACCTGCCTAGCCAGTTTCTGCCAAGAAAAGTCAACGGGGGCATCTGGATTGGCGTAAGCACCACATGATTCATTTAACAACTGAAAATATTAGCTTAACAATTGTGGCAACAAAAAAAAAGTGTCCGGACTTAAAACTACCTTGTTTGGCAATGAAAATTCTTGTCCAAGTTGTGGTTGAAAGTTGTATTAGCAAAATAAAAAAAAATAAAAAATGTGTTTTTTTTCGTAAGTTCAAGCCATCTACATCATTAAATATTTGCAGTTTGGGGAAATAAATCATACTTTGATAGAAATACT